TAATAATAATAATAATAATAATAATAGTGAAATGACAGAGGTGGATGTAGAGAGAAAGTGAGCCAGGTGCTGAATCTTCAATGAGTGACAGGCAGTGATGACCCGGAACCAAATGATGGGGGAATCAGAGCATCCAAGATTTTGTTATTGTTGTTGTCGGCTGGCCGGCTGGTATGGGGATCTGAATCAAGTAGATGTTAAAGGGGGGACAGAGCCCGAAGGATGGAGTCTCTGTCAAGAGCCCAGGGTAAAAATAAAACAAATAAACAAACAGAAGAGCAAAAAAAAAAAAAAAAAATAGATCTCCTAGCACCAGGTGTAGGGGGAGTTGAGGTAAGGTGGGAGGAGAATCAAATTTGAATATTTTGTTCCCTCCTGAGGGAGGAATCTGGGTGAGATGAAGAGATCTGGGAGAAGTCATTTTTATTCATTCCTCCCTCTGCCTGCTTCCTTTCAATTCAACTGAGTTCAAAAACAGGTAGGAAACATTTTTATTTGATGAAGATCTGAAAACCAGAGATAAGCCAGCTTCAAGTAGCTCACAAGGTGTGTACATCAAGATATCAGGTAGGGGCTGGCTGGTTACTCACTTGGTTAGAATGTGGTACTGGGAACACCAAGGTCCAGGGTTCACCCTGTGCTGGCCAGCGCCAAAAAGAAAAAGTTATCAGGTGGGAAGAGATGGGAAAAAACGCAGATAAAGTGAACAATGGGTTGGTTTTAGACCCAAATACTTTTCTCCTAAAAAAAAGTTACCCTGGTGAAGCCACATTTTGATCTCTCCCCTATCCCTGGGTAGTTCCTGAGGTGCCTCTAAACCTATGACTCCCAACCTTGGCCGCCCTTTGGAATCACCTGGGCATTTCTTAAACATTGATGCCTGAGTCCCACCCCCAGAGATTCTGATTTAATTGGTTTAGGATGCAACCTAGGCTTTGGGATTTTTAAATGCTCCCTGGACGATTCTAATATGTAGCCAGGTGTGAGAACCATTGCTCTAAGGAATGTGTGGGGCTCTGTTTAACCTAATCTAATTAATCTAATCCCACTAATCTAATCCAACTCAGAGGATAGAGAGAGACCTTTTTGCCAAAGTGAGGGGTGAATTGATCTGAGCCTTCAAGAACAGATAAAATTTGACCAAGTAGAGAGGCAGATGTGAAGGTGGGGAGAACATCGTGAGCAAAAGCCTAGAGGTGGTCTGAAACTCTTGACAAGCAAAGTAAACAATTCGGTTAATAATAGGTAGAAATTGGGGAAGAAGGTCTAAAATTTGGGAGAGGCTGGGCAAAGACCAGGAGGTGAAAATGATGAGTGATTCAATTCGGTTGGAAGTTACGTTGGACAGAGAAAGCTGGATGAATTTAAACTATGCAAGAGGCTGAAGGCTGGATTGAAATGTTGTAAATAATTGAGTAAGCAATAGGGAAGCTTGAGGGCCTTTTGAGCAGTGGAGTTATGTGAGAAGTGTGTTTGGGGAGGGTAATTTGACAGCAGTGCTGAGGGAGAGGAGGTAGGAAGTAGAAAGACCTGTTGGGGAAACTGCTGCAATAATCCTAGATGAGGTAATTTTTCTGGCAAGGGCTGGGGAAAGTTGCAGATTCGAAAGATACTGTAGCAATAGAATCTACTGGTCTTGACAGAACACCAAAAGTAAGGCAGGAAGCAGATGGAGGAGGCAGCAAGTTTTCAGATAAAGAAGAGTGACTGGGAAAACGGTGCCATTAACAGAGACAAGGAAGCAGGTTTTCAGTGGCATTTCATCAGTTTGGTTTGGAACATGCTGAGTTTAGAGGACCAGCAGTGGGGTCTGTGTGGCTGTGTTCTGCAGGTAATGGAAGAATGTCTGCATGCAAAATATAGGTTGGAGAAGCATTTGGTTGAGATGGCTGAGTTGAACAGATGAGATTTTCAAGGGAAAGTATCAAAGAAGAAAGAAATACAGAGATAGACATTTAGGGGAAAGGAGGAGGAAAAACAAGGGCAGAGGAGGGATGATTAGAGGG